TATTAGTTAGGTTCACTCATTAATTTACTTAGTTTTAACATATATCATATTTGATATGATTGAATATCCTCAGGAACCAGTTTATGAACGTCACCTAGTTATGGCAGATAATGATGCAGCCGACTTGAGATGTCCACAACTTCTGACACACTATTTTGATATATGTTCTATTTTTCTTGAATAATCTTGCAATGTACACATTTCTGTTTCAAGAAGTCAGTGAATATGTATCTTTGTGATGATAAATAAAAGGGTTTTATTGGCATTTGTGATAAAATAGCTTGATATGCAAGTAGTCCATTGGGGACAGTTCTTCGATGCCCTTTGAGTTATCATTTTTCATTAATTTCAACTCATATATTTCAGACTATGTAATTGATTTGTGTTCAAATTAAAGTAGAATACTGGATTTTGTACTGGTATCAACAGTCGAGGTAAATCACTCACCATCCATCTGGGTTTCAACCCAAGTAAAGCAACTATAAAGAACACACTCCATAATAAAGGTGTTAAAACTAGAGCGGTCCAGAATATTCGAGCCTCTCTTTCATTCACTCGATTCTGCGATTGGCCCTAAAAAGGGTTACATATAGATATGAATTCTCAAAAAAAATTATAACTTTCAGTGTACTAAACAATTAAAATTAGAATCACAAAACAAGCAAATGAAAACCTTTCGAGATTCAAAAACCCAGTGTGATTTTCCTTCATCATCCACGTAATTCCACCATCTCAGGCCAACCATTAACCTTCCAGTAATATTCTTTACTGTCCAAAAATCCATTGAAAGTAACAAAATCACAATGATGAAACTTGTTATGAAACTATTGCTAAACCACCCACAAAACATGTATGCCACAACAGCAGCTCCTCTGAATACTAAGTGAAAAAAGGTCACATAAGGATGCCTAACCAAAAAAATGTATGTAAATACATTGAATAGAGTAATTAAAACGATATTTACACTAATGAATTTTTATTTCTCGTTTCATCCTCTTCACCAAAAGCAATCGTATCATCATCTAGAAGAGGCATCTGAAAAATTAGATTAAGTATTCAATTTTTGACGCATTGGTTATAGTTCATGTGCCGCCTTACTGTTGCAGATGACATCTCAAGGATTTTCTAATCTCAAGCAATTCTAAGTCGGAAATAATTATTCTCACTAAACTCCTCCAATTCCTAAATATCCCAATTCACTTTACCATCTTTCCTATGTCTACTAATGATAAATAGATAAATTATCTTTGTTTTTTTTAGTATGTCAAAAAGTCTTCTTCTTCTTATTTTCACTTCTTGGCTATGCTCTCCTAGAATATGCTAGTTCTTAAGCTGGGGCATATCGTTATTGCCAACCACAACCATACAATCAAAGATCACTATGATGTAAAAAAAGCTTTATACATTTCGGTATGGTCCAGGATACGCGCAGCTTGTGAGAGTTCTCAAGCCTGTTCCTAGAATTGACTAACTGTTTATGTCTATCATCAGTATCAGTATCTATCATCAGACAGCGCAATTTGACTCGTCCTAAATTTGGCGGAATTTCTCATTTTTCACAATGGATTCAATATATCCAAGAAGTAATACCGGTGTTTCTTCAGTACCATAAAAGTGCCGTAGGTGATAATAACGAGTTTTGTCAATGGATATAAGCTGAGACCTTATATGCTGAACATTCTGACAGTATGTACCTCAAGGTCTCAGGGGCCGCGCGGCAGGCCCTGCACCTGAACCTTTATACTCATCATGCGACTGCGGTAGACTTAGGTAGGCCATGATGAACCCCTCAGTGCCACCCACTCGAACCGAGGAAAGCGAAGGACATTAGCTCTTGAAGTGAATATTTCCTTTATATATTATATATTTGAATGAAGCGGTAAAAGACCAAGAAGTGTGATTCGTAAATAAAATAGAGTAAAGTTAGAACCTAAGTTGAATAAATTATTTGAGTAAAGTCAAAATGACAGAAGGTTTCAATAAGCCTCCACTATTGAAATCGAAAGGAAATGCCGGCACCGAATGGCCAAAATGGAAAAGTTGTTTTGAAATTTATATGAGTGCAGCTGGATTGGATGGCGCAACAGATAAAAGGAAGATCAATATACTTCTGAATTTGATTGGAGAAGATGCTATAGAAGTGAAACAGACATTTGAATATGAGAAAAAGGAAGACGAAACTAACTTTGATGTGATCTTGGGTAAATTTGAACAATATTATGTACCCAAGAAGAACCTGACGATTGAAAGATTCAATTTTTTGCAGTTCAGCAACATAACGGTGAACCGTTTGAATCTTTCTTGTTGAAATTTAAAATGCGAGCTGCAACTTGCGAATTTTGCAGTTTGAGAGACAGTTTAATAAGAGATAGGATTGTTAGCGAAATTTTCGACAAAAAGACGCAAAAGGCTTTATTGAAGACAAATGACATTTCATTATCAGAAGCAATAGACTTTTGTGTAATACAGGAGCTTAGTGAGGAACAGGCAAGGCTTTTGCAGAATCCGCCAAAGGTAGAACAAATCCGGTCAACCACAAAAACTAAATCAATGGCTGTCAATTCATCGAATGGTTGTCATACTGTGCATGAATATAAGTACAAAACAAATCATTGTTCAAAATGTAACAGGTATCATAGTTTTAGAAGTTGTCCTGCATTTGGAAAATTTTGTAATTATTGTGAAGGTATAAATCACTTTGAGAATTGTTGTTTTTTGAAAATTTCTCACAGACTGATAATTTAAAAAAAATTAAGAAATTGGAATCGAGGATTCCAATGATAAATTTTTCATTCCTGAGATTGTAATTATTGGAATAACCAAAGCCTGGTATTCAAATGTTCAAATTGGAAAACATAATATCAATTTCAAACTAGATTCGGGAAGTGAGGTGAATTTATTACCATGAAGTGTGTTAGAACCGTTGAAACAAGATGATTTGAAGCTTAATGTACAGTCAACAAATGCGATTTTAGTTAGTCATGGTAATTTCAAAACTAAGGCTCTGGGTAAAATATCATTAATATGCAATAATAAACACAATTTGGATTTCTTGATAACAAATGTAGAATCTCAACCAATTTTAGGATTGGAAGGCTGTACTAAACTGAATATTCTTAAACGAGTGGATAATGTAACTGAAAACTGTGAAATTGATAAATTGATAGAAAATAATTATACGTCTATTTTTACAAGTCTGGGAAAAATAGAAGGTGAATATCATATTGAATTAGATACAAATGTGACTCCGGTAGTTCATGCTTGTAGAAAAGTACCATTCACTTTAAGGTCCAAACTGAAAGAAGTATTAAATGAACTTGGAAATATAGGTGTTGTGTCGAAGATTGATTACGCAACATTCTGGGTTAATAGTTTGGTAATAGTAGAAAAAAAGAATGGATCTCTTAGATTATGCCTTGATCCAAAAGATCTCAATAAAGCTATAAAAAGGAAACATTATATAATACCTACTCAGGAAGATATAATTGCAACTATAATCGTAACAAATATTTTTCTGTTTTTTGATATTAGTTCAGGATTTTGGCAAATATAGCAAGACAAACCTAGCTCTGATTTATGTGTGTTCAGTACTCCATTCGGGAGGTACAAATTTTTGAGAATGCCTTTTGGTATCAAATCTGCTCCGGAGGTATTTCAAAAAAAGATTAGACAAATATTTGGGGAAATCAGGAAGTACTGAACATTTTTGATGACTTAATAATATTTGGGGAAACAGAAGCTGAACATGATCGAATTACTCATGAGGTTTTTGAAACGGCCAGTCATCACAATATTACTTTCAATAAAGAAAAGTTTCAATATTATGTCAGTAAAATTCATGGGGAATATTATTAGCAAAAACGGTTTCAAAGTAGATCCAGATAAAGTGAGAGCCATAACTGAAATGGAATCGCCTAAAAATAAAAAAGATTTGAGAAGGTTTTTAGGAACTGTAAGTTACCTATCAAAATTCATTCCACATTATTCCGAAATCAATGCACCCTTCGAAATTTACTGAAATGTGATGTTGAATGGTGTTGGTTACGTATACACGGTAATACATTTGAAAATCTTAGAAATATACTCTGTAATGCCCCAGTATTGAGATATTATGATATAAATTTGCCTGTTGTAATTCAATGTCATGCAAGTAAAAATGGGTTGGGAATCTGTTTATTACAAAATTCTCATCCAATATCTTATTGCTCTAGATCGTTAACACCATTTGAACAAAATTTTGCACAAATTGAAAAAGAGTGATTGAGTATTGTATTTGGAGTAGAAAAATTTCATCAATATGTGTATGGAAAAGAAATAACAATTGAAACAGACCACAAACCTCCTGAAACTATTCCTAGAACCCATCCCTAGAAAATCTAATAGAATTATTAGAATACCATCAAAATTCAAAGACTTCGAATTATATACGTAATCGAACTCAATGGAGAGATGTTATATATTATATTACCATACTTTTGATGACAACTAGATATAAGTATTAGGAATAGAAACTGTCATGTTTGCTGTTAGTTACAAAAGTACGTTGTTGAATCATTCGCTCTTGAAGTGAATTTTTCCTTTATATATTATATATTTATAACACCAAGTAAGTAAATGTATCTCTGGCATCCGGATGGTGCAGAAGGCTTCCATTTACAAGTTGCACATCATCTCCGTAGTCCTCGTATGGTCCTCTTTTGAGATGGACCATTGCACATTTGTCTATACTGAATTTCAAACCGATAGTATGTGTTTACTCTACCACCATCCTCAACGACTGATGGGAATCCTTCTCTCCAGATGCATGAAGTTTAAGATCATCCATATAAAACAAATGATTAACCGTATGCCTCCGTTTTCCGGAAGTGTCACAGTTATGAACTCAATTATTTTTGAGAGCAACGGCAACGGATAATATCCGTAGTGAAATGCAGAAAAAAGGAGACTGAGAAAATCGTCCTGAAACAGCCTCTTATGTTTGAAGTTTAGCCTCACTAGACATTATGTTGAAGCGAGTCTGCCAAAGTTGTTTAAAGCATCTCATTATTTTGTCGGGTACCGCAAGTCATCTAAACAAATGTATACCTACAGTGTAGGTTTATACTCGGTCAAATACAATGAGTATTTGTGTGTATAAATGTTCCTAAACAGCTTAAACACTAATTTAAGCATATTATCGGTGTTTGATTCTCAAGAATCGATAAATTTTCATTTTTGGGGATAAGAACGTCTACCTCTCGACAAACCAATTAGAAATCGGGTACTCTCCGTTCAGCCATAAGTTGAAAACCCTGGCCAGATAGCAGAGGGTTGTTGTTAGTTTTTTCTACCAATAAGTGTTCAGCCCATTTGGTTGGGCATTAGCAGGCTGGCGAGCAGCTATATAGCCCTGCTGGCGAAAATAAGATACATAATCCCTTAGGTTTTGTGCGGAATGGGCGCATGCCTCGCATATGTTTCAACCACGGAGCATGCATTCTCGGCATGTACCTTTTTCGCGTGGACTCACTACTCTCGTATTAACGCATAAGGCTATCCTTCAGCTCATGTCCGGTGGTATTGCGTTCGTCGTATGATGCCAAATCCTCGTTATAGGCCCCACCACCTTGTCTATGATCCCCTGTACGAAGGCTTCCGTTGAGGGAGAATTTTCTTCAATTGTTTGGAACCAATTATAGGGTTAATAGGTTCCTATCATCTCAGTTATTTTTATTGTTGACAAGTTGGAATTTTCTAGTGAATTTATGAATTATAAGTATACAAATTCATCAAAAATCATTCACTATTAATTGAAACATTTCCAAAACAAGCACTGCTGATTCCGTCCGTGCTGATTGTTAGGTATGCTGTGGTACGGTATTGCTTCGAGCAAGTCAGACTGTACCCCCTGACGTATCTCCTATTATATTATGTCATATGAGGCGCACTGGTCAAATGGAAGCAATGACCATAAGCAGAAGAAGAAGAACGTGGTTAACATTGATTTAGGTTATGTTTTTCTAGTTACATGTGCACTTACAGAACAAAGTTTCAGTTTGAAGTTCAGGCTAATACTGATTTCAGGTCGTATAGTAGGAAGCAAATAACAGACAACGGAATTACTTAAACGTATAAACCCACTGAAAATCAGATAATGGTAAATTCGAAGTTTTGTGTATAATGTCTATTTTTAATTCTATGTATCATTATAGGCTGAAGAAGTGAATCCGAAAGCTTATCCATTGGCAGATGCAACCCTTACTACAAAGATTCTGAACCTCGTGCAACAAGCTATGAACTATAAACAACTCCGAAAGGGTGCCAATGAGGTTACTAAGACTCTTAATCGAGGAATTTCTGAATTTATTGTTATGGCAGCTGATGCTGAACCTTTAGATATCCTGTTACACCTTCCGCTACTTTGCGAGGACAAGAATGTTCCATATGTGTTTATAAGATCTAAACAAGCTCTTGGTCGAGCATGTGGTGTTTCTCGGTCAGTTATTGCTTGTAGTGTAACCACCAATGAGGGGTCTCAACTGAAACCCCAAATACAGACAATTCAGCAAGAAATTGAAAGACTTCTAGTTTAGGAAACTAATGTAGGAATCATTTGTCATGTTATAATTATAGTTGTTAGATAATATGGTATTGGTGTGTAGATGAAAACCTGACTTTCATTATATATTTTTTATTATCTCTAGAATTTACTATTATTTTGGTGAGAACAATGTGATTTCTATTGTTACCTATTATTACATTGTTGAAATATTAGTAACCAACAGCACATCTGTAACCATCAACACACCAAGACTTTTTTCAATTTTTGAAGTATTGAGGTATCTCAACTTTTGTAGAGTCAGTTAAATGTTGACAAACTTATCAAAAGCTAAATTACTATGGATCTTTACCCAATAAGGTAGTTTGGATTGTTTCCTTCCGTTCCATACAAGTACAACTCCACTCAAGGTTTTCTTTTCAAGGACAAAGAGGTTCAAAAGTTGCATTTATGAACTGCCCAGTACCACTAATCAGATCTATGACAGATCAAAATATCCAAAGGGGCTTTGACAATCATTTGTAGGATGTCATTGTTGGTAAAATAAGGTTCATCGAAAGCTATGTCGATAACTTATGAAACACTGCCCTAGTAATCGGGCGTCAACTCAAATGCAGATCATTAATGCAACACTTTTGGGCTCTAGTATCTATCATCTGAGAGTAATATTAGTTAGGTTCACTCATTGATAAAATATGTTTTGTTAACTGATTGCATTAAACCATGAAATTTCCTCTCACTAGGATTTATTATTGAAAATTCCCAAATAATTAGGAAAAACTCATTTATTCATTCACTGATAAATAAACATTAAGCAAAAGTTTCTGAAGCAATTTTAGTCCAGTTCTCCTGCCAACGTAACATTTGGAATGTATGTAATTCAGCTTTGAATTTCTTCTCAGTCGCTTGCTGAATTTGTGAGTTAGGGAAATACTCAAACCAGTTTTGTAGTTGTTCTGCTAAATCTCTTGAAGATTTGAATTTGTAACCATTGATTCCATGATGAACCAATTCATCTAAACTGAAAGTCAATTGAAACTTTAATTAGAACCAAAATCTATAGTTAATAAGTTCACAAAAAAATTGAACGAATCCTGCTGCCATAATCCGACAATGTAGTGTACAGAATTTCATTAACAGGCCAATCATCGATCTGGTTCTGGTTTGAAAGTAAAAATACGCATAGGCGAATGAAAGTTTTATGATCAGATGGGTTCAATTTGAACGAGATTAGTTTGAGAGGGAAGAAAGCAACAGTGAAATGAGGAGTGAGATCGAAATATAGTGATAGTGGGGGAGTATGTGAAGATTAGGTGACAAATACATGAAATTTGTAATATTTGATGGATACAATCAATGCTCTCAGCAGATTTATAAAGTTAGTGAATGATGAATATAAACTGTACACTACGTTGCAAATTCAAATATGACCAACGTTTAATATAATTCCACTATTCTGAATTCATTTAAATCATTTCATGATCTTTTTGATTTTTGATGACTTGGAAATCGTTGAGCATTAAGAGTAAAGAACGTCTACACATTCTGTAGGATTTTCTGCTTTCACAGTACAAATCCTTATGCTTCCTTTGCTGTTCAGAATTCGTAACTTTGCAGATCATTCAATTGACATATTTTCTGGTTTACTGTATTTCAGAAAATTATTTTCAATTAAGAGTATACAAGATTCTTGTTATCTGCCAAACTAATCAGGTTTAAATTCTTTTAAAAACCGACTTAAAAATGAAACTTACCATTCGAAACTTACCATTCGAAATCATACGCACAAACTGGTAGACCACATCCAAACATGTCAACAACTTTCATTGGCAAATCCAATCCGCTGGAGCTTGTATGGAGACAAACCCCCAAATCGGCAGATGCCAACATCAAAGGATAATCATTAGATTCCAGCCAGGGAGTAATAACGCACACGTTTTTCCAATTTTGTTTGGCAATTTTTGAACAGTAGTACTCTTTCAGATGTCCTTTTCCCGTAATAAAACATATCAGCTGGGCCAATTTTCTTTGATTTCCATTTTCAATATGATCCTCATATTCTGAAATATATCACATTTTTAAAGATTCAACATCAGTCGAGTGAAGTGTGATGAATGAAACTATGGTTGTAATAGAATATCGGTTACTGACTCATCTACCTCTCAATATTTCTTTCAAATAAAAAATCATTAAAAAAATTAAAAATATTTCTAGAATTATTCGTAGGAAGAAAAGACATTCACCTAAGTAGTTTTTATGCAGTTTATGAACTGATAATAATTTGAAAGATCTCTGCTCACCATATAAAAAATGTCAGAACTATTATTACTCCAATACCAAATGTATGTATTACAGTGTATTGTATTGTATGTATTAGTTTTTTAATTACTAATAATACTCTTAAAACTTTGGAAAATATATTACAAATATATTCACAGACTTCTGTAAAGCCATTAGTTAAGTAGATAATGGTATATTTTTGTTCTTGCAGAATGATATAGATTGTGTTCATGAATGGCGGAGTTTTATTTCAATTTTCAGAAATGCCAGAAATCTGGGTGTTAAATACAATAATGTGATTTCATGGGCGACTCATTCAATTTTTTGTTTTACATAAGCATGAATGAATGAAGTTTTAGTATTAATATTTATATGGTTGGTTTATCTATACATGAAACGCAGCATATTTCAGACATCCTACAAAAGTATTTATTAAACAATCATCAAATAGTATTTATTGTATGAATTAAACTATGAATACACTGATCTCTTACTTGATAAAAATTAATAAAACTATCCAAGATTATGATGAAACAATTTCCACACTGAACTTTACTCAACACGTGTTTCACCACACATTAGGTTCTTCAGTGGAAGTAATACTTCAAATTAAGGTACATTATAAGTTCATAGCGTGAAATGATGAATAGTGTGAAATGACGAATAACAATTGGTGTCATTCTACAGGAAAAAGAAAAATTTTGGTGTAAAATTCATCATTAACAATCAATAGGAATAGACAACTCACCCTCCATTAAAGAACTTTATTATAAATATTCACCTTGTAAAGCAGAAAATAAAATTGAGAAATCTTCATCTTCTGTCCAACTTGTGCTTGATACCAACAAACCAGGTCTGGAAGGTTTCAAACGGACGCCATCATTTGTATTTTCAGTAAAAACTGTAGAACCATCTCGGGAAATTATTTGGTTATAACGTTTTCCAAGCCTTTTCAGAAAAATATCCTTTTCCTCCAAAGAAATTGATCTAAATATTTTTGGTGGTTTATCATATAAAGTTACTGCACTGAAATGAAGAAATTGTAGAGTAAATACTTTAAGTTCAGAATCTGGGTATGACATGATGAAAAATAATTTATATAATATAAACCTTATATTCCAGTTTTCACACAAATCTTTCTTCATGGCATTTGTTACACAAAAATTGTGGTCAGCTTTCCTTCCAACAAACATTTCAACCCTTTTCGTGATTTTTACTAACATATTATCCTTGGAGAGATTTAGTGCCATAATGCTATGGGCATAATTATGCCAATCAATGTATAATTTACTCCCAACTACTTTTGAAAAAACCCAACAAACAAGTAGAGCTGGTATTGCAGGTGGATTTTGGACTAAAATAATGTCTGGTTTTCTAATAGTTACAAGGAGAAACAGTAAATTTAAAATTTGCCAGATAGTTTTGAAAGCATAGTTTGTTAATTTGTGCGGAATAGTGGGGCATGCTAACAAGTAATGATAGTATAATAAAGGAGACTTCTTGACTTCGTCCAAAGGATCAGTTTCACCATATCCTAATATATCAACTTTGTGCCCCAAATCTGCTAAAGACAGAGAATGGTATTGCATTCTAGGGCTTCTCCCTATGTCACCTAACACTACAATACAAATATTTTTGCTTTTGCATGCCATACTTATTTATTTTCACCAGTAGATAAAATTAATCACTGTATGTGGTGATGTCTGATATTTGAGTAAAATACAGATATCTATTAAAGATTAATAGATAACTCAAATTGATACATATTCAAATTATGCCTCAGATTATAATCAATTCAGATTTTTTGCGTTTTCCATTGGTGAAACGAGTGCACATTCAGTGTATTTCTACCCTTTATTAAAGTATTGAAAAATAAAGGACAGCGATACATTGAAAACGCATCTTTGCTTTTAATTATTTTGATGGTTTGTATGTTTATTTGGAACTTGGAACCTAAATTTATTGCCACAATTATTCTGGTAAGTGTAATTATTTTAGATTCTATTTATGAATATGGCAATGTAGTTACTTTTAGGATGACCAATCAAATTCAATGTTAGTGATTAGTCATATAAACTGTAATTTGAGATAGCAAACGCCGAATAGTCTATATCGAATGCATGTGTATGTGATATTTTTCTCAGATTATTTATTGTTACTTTATTTCAGATTTCAATCAATATATATTTTCACTCATTAACCACAAAGTACCCCACCTTTGAAGAAAAGATACTGGAAGATACTAACGTGTAACAGCACATTACAGAGTACTGTGCTAAACGATTAACGGTCGGAACAACCCTTGATATGTTCGGCGTTCGTATATTCATTTCAACGAGTTTTTTACTACTCTAATTCGGATATTGCCAAGTCATTTCAAAATCTTTTTTTGAAAATTCAAGATATTTTGGTAAATCTGGGGTTTATAGGAATGTAGTTGATTTCGAATTAAAATAGAAGATATTTTGCACGTGATTGTGGCTTTTTATATAATATTAGACAATGGAAGTCCGAACTAATGAAAATAAATCAGGTTGTCTTTTGAAAGATTAGACCTTTTAAAATCAAAATATAGGAATCAAAGGTGACGGTAATTTCTCAAAAAAGGAAACGTAATTCGTATCTCACTATTGGATAATTTATAGGTAAATCATGTCAATCGTTGCGTTTCGTTCCCAATAATTTTACATCAGATTGAGTTATTCCCGTTAAAAGTTATTCGTTGTCTCTTCACGAAATATTTTGATCGAGTAGAATGGACAGATCTGGAATAGATAAATGCTAACAAATGGTAGTAGCAAGGTATATAGTTCCAGAAAACCTTCTGAATATTGACGAATTAAAAAAAATTTGGTTTGAAAAATAAACAATTATGACGAGATATCTCATGAGTAAACCTTCAAAATTACAAATAGTCATTCAGATCTTCATTTCATGAAGCATTATGTAAAAATCTTTCACAATAACAATTTATCTTCAAATATGAACATTGAAATGTCAATTTTTCATAGTGAATGAGTTCAAAAGATAACACTAGGGATTTTGTGCATTTTGGGAAAAATCCAAGGTTCTTATCCTGGAAAAACCATTCGTCAGTCTCCTTCTTCTTCGACATTTGATACATGCTGGTTACTCTACAGGAGCCAAGTTATTGTGATTTTCACAATCAAATTTTGAATAATTATGAATATATTGACCAGTACCATCCGAATCTGAAAATGAAACCCTTGCTTATTGAAATTTTCCCTATAACGACTCAGTAAATGTTAGTTTTAGCTGAAAACGAATTTGGCAATATAATAATAATCTTTTTGAACTCGATTTGACCTTGAACCATGTTAGGAATCACACGTTAAAAGGTAAGACCTAGTTAGTCCTTAGCTCGCACAAGTTTCTCGACTTCTGAGAGTTCTCGTTCATATGGGGGCGACAGCTGATTAACGGAAAAACAGATTTTAAACATTTTTTAAAACAGATTTCCAATAAATTTCTTAAACGTTAGCACCACTCATTATATTCTCATAAAACTAGACTATACTCATACCTAATTATCAATGATATCACAATTGCTTACAGTAATGAGGGTTTTCAATGAATAATAAAAAATAATAATAACTGTAAATATCTACCCACACATCAACAGTAATAATGAAATTAATTCTCATGAAGGTCTTCTCCGTGATAATATATAACTTGGGGACATAACGGTCCATTTGTTCACCAGATATCACAAGGGGTTCGTTTTAAGGCGGGTCCAAAAGTTTGGCATTTTTAATTTTGTATTATAACGAAATTAAAAATTCATGTGTAATTCCAAAAAAATTACAGTTTTATTCAGGAGAATGTACTTTTTGAAATCAAAATTTTTCAAAACGGAGACTTTTGCGTGTTCCCTATTACCGTCTTACAGATACAGTGATAAAGTTGATTTTACCGTTAGTGATTACTGAGCGTTATCTTTCGATGCTGTGTCTAGATTACAATCGGAACTCATCTTTTTAAAATATGTCACTTTGGACTTTTGACATTTGACAGATCAATCAAGAGTTGTTTGAGTACTGTGGAGTCTTTGTTTCTTTTTGTTGTAATTTCTATCAGTTTTTTGTACTTTCTCTTTCAGAAATGGTGATCGTAATTCAATTTTAAATTTTATTAAGGTTAGTTTTTTTTTAGATTTTACAGTGCACTTGGAACTAACTATCAATTTTTAGAGTTATATGCAGCAATATTTTGTAGAACAATGACATCTGGCAACAATATTGAGTCCGAATTTTTGGAATTGAGTTCTAAGAATCAGTGGCAAGTGTTCTATCAGGTACGGTAAAAGTATTATTTTGGGTTTAAGATAGTCTAATTTCTACCTGTGTATTTGGATTCATTCAGACTTCAAAGGAAGATCCAGTTCGAATTTTATATTCAGAAGAAAAAACGAGTTAACTGTTTCTTCTAATGTATAGCATTACAAAATTTGAAAGTTCCCACTTGGAACTATTCTCAAAAATGTATGAGATCATTTATAATCTTCGATCTTATTCATTTTGGAGCAATCATTATATACTTCTTTGACAAGAGCTTTTTTTTCTCAGTAGGTAAACATTTCTAAAATACATTATTTTAGAATTGTAAGGGACATTATATACAACCTAACTTTATCATTGAATTAGGCAGTATAGTAGTAGTAGTGATAGGTGGATAAATGATAAATATTTTCTTCAATGGTTCACTTCAAGTTTTTGAAAAACTTGTTAGTAGACTGATGTATGCTCATCACAAATCTGAAGTTAAAACTTCCTACTTTGGTTGACTTTCGAAGATATGGCCACTCAAAAGTAAAGCCTGTTAAAAATTGACTATTTCAGGAAAACACTCCTGGTACTAAAAAATTGTAAAATGACAACTTTATTCATCCATTTCAAATGTTTTCAACCTAATTGAAATCTTCTATTTTCACCATAATCACCCAATCTTGGAATCGTGTTCGAAATAATAGTGTCACTTCACTAGAATTTTAGTATTATTATTTATTAGCAATATCATGAAAACCTAAAAATTAAGTAATGAAAATTATTTTGACAAACTTTAAAAATTTGCCTTATCTTAGAAGTGTAAATTACTAAGCACTAAGCACTACTTTCTTGAGTTTAATTGTAATGTTAATTAAATTGCATGTAGCTTGTTTACCACCATTATTTTCAATTTTGATGTATTGCATGCAATTATTTTGTCCATTTTATTGAGCTAGATAATTTTTTTGATGCTACATTTTTTCATTACATTTTCTTTCTTTTAGCAAATTCGGGCCCAAAGTTCTGTTGACAAGTGTTCAGAAGCAATTAAACCACAAAACAAAATTTTAAATCGCTATAGAGATGTGAGTCCATATGATCATAGTCGCATTATACTAAATAGAGGATCAACAGACTACATCAATGCCAATCTAATTAAAGTAGAACAAGCAAATCGGCAATACATATTAACTCAAGGACCACTATCTAACACATACAGCCACTTTTGGTTGATGGTGTGGGAGCAGGAAACAAAAGCTGTAAGCAACATTAATGTAAAGTAGAGATTAAAACCATTTGTTATCAATGTTATAATATTCAGATTTCTAAACACTCCGTAACGAAAGGTATGCTGAAAATTTGAAGGTATTTTGTAATATTATCAATGAATTGGTTCCCCATTGATATTCAGGTTCGCACTTTTGGTCTTTCTTAATTTTACTAGTAGTACAGCTATATTTTCTCAACCACACTACAGTACAAATCAATATCTTCATTCTTTTGTGGTCTATAAGACCAACAACTGTTGTTAGATATGTATTCTATGAATTTTTTTTGTATTGTTCTTTAGTTTTTTTTGTAATTGTATTGAGCAAAATGGGTTGTGAAACTGTAGGTTTGTTGAGTATCATCCACTGGTGATTTTCAGAATATATTTTTTTTCAAACATTTTCTATTGATCTAAAATGTTATTCAGTTCAATGGAAACGTTTTGGGACTTCTCATAACATTATGGATTTTTATTATCATGTATTGTCAATTGCAGGATGAAAATTTTCAAAAAATATTTGAAAATATGGTTGAATATTACTGAAGTTTCTTCCCAAAACAAAATCGTTATTTTCAACACCTCGACACGTGTTTCGATCAACAAGTGATCATCTTCAAGAGGAAGATTGAACTTCCTCTTGATTAATCTTCCTCTTGAAGATGATCACTTGGTAATCGAAACACGTGTTGAGGTGCATCACAAGTGAAAATATTGTTAACTACTTAACATATACATCTAAAAAAAACTACCTAGAAAGATCAGTTGAGATTTTCAGATCTTTTCTTTGGATGTTAATGGTTTTAATTTTGTCATTTTTGTGGTAGTCAGCTTCCCTCGAAAGAAGCAGAAATGCAAGTAAATAGTTGTTTCATGAACAAAGAAGTCTGAATTATTTTTTGATTTGTTGATTTCATGTATCTGTTTTCATACCGATATTAATGTCCTAAATTAAATATAGCAATACGCCTGCAGTGTAATATTCCAAATAGTTTTAAGAAAACACAAGACCAAATTTAAAACCAATTATTCACACTTGTGATACACTGTTTGGAATCTTTGGTGTCGTAATGCATATTACTGGAGTTTTTTCCCCAACACCAAGCCGTTATTTTAACACCTCGACACATGTTTCGATCACCAAGTGATCATCTTCAAGAGGATGATCTTCACATTTTATCATTTTCATAAAAATTTATATCATTTTCATGATGGTGAAAATACTGTACTTTGAGTGGAATTTAGTATATTTTTTGACTGTTGTTTATAATAAAAACTGAAGAAAATATAATATTGTCCAAGAAAATTGTTCTGAGTATGTCTATCATATCTCATTTTACATCAAGATTATTCTATTTTGATAATCGCCTATATAAAAGACTCAATTTAGAGTTTCACAGTGGTACATGAACAAAAAAAACCAAGAATGTACAGTTAACTGACTTATTGTGAAAATCTTAATGACTATGTTTTTTTTAGATAAAATAAAACCCTTTTATCATTAATCTTCAGGTTCAATAGTATAATAGGTGTTAGGTTAGGTTAGGTCCAAAGTGAGTGGGTCTGTTTGACCCTCCACCGCAACCCGCAAGGGTTTATTGTGGCACACACCTATTCACACTTGCCCAAATAAACCCAACTTCTTAACGAAGCCGATTAGTTTGTATGGTGAGTGGTCTTTCAGGTCAGATGGTAAGAGTATGGCTCTGCCGAACTCAAGAATCTGGTGCAAGGCGGTTTTATAAGGTACCCCACTCTTGAGGAGACGACTCATTCGTTTCCTGGCTGCACTACCAAACTTTTTTTTGAAGGTTCAGTTGTTGGATCAGGAGTTAGGGAGTTGAGAAGCTCTTGCTCCTGAACTAAATTTACAGGGAGGTCAGTTGGAGTCGTAAACTCGACACCCATCTCCTCTGTAGATTCGCTCCTGAACTAAATTTACAGGGAGGTCCGTTGGAGTCGTAAACTCGATATCCATCTCCTCTGTAGACTCGCTCCTGAACTAAATTTACAGGGAGGTCAGTTGGAGTTGTAAGCTCGACATTCATCTCCTCTATAGATTCAGCATCAGAAAGAATTTTTAAGTTTACTCTGTCCATTAAAGTCCTACGAGTAGCTAGTGAAAGGTCAATCACGGCAGAGCACCGCATTACCGTGACAAGGCGATGCTACGACGAGAAGGCGTCCGGTATCTCGAAGGTTCCGTAGAGACAGCTGATAGGCTCAGTGTCATTCATCCTCTCGGCACGGATACACACACCTCAGGATTAACCATCGTTAGGATGCCATTCAGTTAGGGAAAAACAAAACCACAAGTGATTCTGTCATTCCCGTATCCAGCGGGGCTACATGGAAGCAGGCATCGGATGGCCGGTTTGTTCAACCCCCCACATCCCCCACATAATAGGTGTTACTTGTCCCACAATGTGTTTCAGACTTTTCAGCTCTTTCTTTCCCAAGTTATTTGTGTTTGAAAATTCGAAGTGTCAACATAAAAAGTTGTAAAATTTGTGAGATGAAGAATTAAAATGAAAAACCTACATTCTTATTTTTTTGGGTCTTTGGCATTGACAAAGTTGCTCATTAGCCTCATGTTCTCGGAAGGTTATTTTGGTAACTCTTAAAACATCCCATAGAGCATTATGACTATTCTCAATCCTGTTAGCCAAGTAATGTAGCAGATTTGATCCATCCTACTTTTAATGTCTTTGAAATGTTGATTATAATATTTAAGAATATTTCAAGCTGTNAAAATCCTTTCAAAATTACTTTCATGTGAACATTGAATTATGTGGAATATAACTTTTTGTGATATACTCCAAATATTGTTGATGGAATTAAAACAGATATCATTCACAGGAACACTTTACAACTTAATATAGGAAAGAGTATTAATATGACACAACTTATAGGAGACACTTTCATAAAGTATGATAGTGTCAACTATAAGTTCGAGACAAGACACTTGTCTTGACGGCTCATAAGCACCGCTTTGGATAACATTACAAGAAAAAGCACTCAATTTGTAGATGGAGTCTTCGTAAGATGAGATGTCTTCACTTTCTCAGGCTTATCCTTTGGGAACATTTGAGCCAAGCAATGCTGTTGTGGCTTAGCCTAGCACCACTGTGAGATCTATTGTGGGTTGAATTAGCACTATCCGTATTGGATTACGAATGATTTGTTTTTGGGTTCTGGTTTCATTTTGTTGTTTTGCAGTTGTGTTGATGATGTCTTCATATGGGAAGATATCATCACCTTCAATTATTCAGTATGGTCATTATTATTTGTAAACAGCTGTGGATATTGGGATTTTAGTATTAATAACAGCGACAAATAATTTATTTCCCCAACTTCCTTTTTTGACTCCAAACGTCATTTCAAATCTTTTAAATAATTTATTCGAAGTCAATTATATCCCGAAAGAAAATTTGTTTCAATCAAAACAGCCTAAATTTATGTCCACAGCCCATAAATGGTTGAATTGTAACATAAAATATATTTATTATTTGTTTTTTACAGATAGTAATGTTAAATAAACTAGTAGAAAAAAAGCAAGACAAGTGCTTTCAATACTGGCCTTCCAAAATTGGTCCAGACTATAAAATGAACCTTCCTGATGTAGGCCTGTGTGTAGAATATATAGAGCAACAAGATCATTCTTACTATCTGACTAGAATTCTTCGACTGACTGATACTGAAAGTGGCAAATTTCGTGATATTCTTCAGTTCCATTATATTACATGGCCTGATTTTGGAGTTCCTACTTCTCCCACAGCTTTTTTAGAGTTCCTTCGTAAAGTAAGAGATGCAGAGGTGTTGGAATCAACTGTAGGTCCAGCTGTTGTACACTGTTCTGCAGGAATTGGTAGATCTGGAACATTTTGTCTGGTGGATTCTTGCTTGATTCTCGTGAGTTGGTTTTTGTTTTAATTATAACTGGTTACTAGAAACGTTTATATGAATACTTTCAAAATTTAAAATTATATTCTCTATGTCTGTGCATTTATAATGTTATTTTTAAGATTGAAAAGTATGGCATCAATTCCGTAGACGTTAAAGAAATTCTATTGGAAATGAGAAAATATAGAATGGGCTTGATACAGACTCCGGAACAACTTAGATTCTCTTATCAAGCAATTATTGAGGGTGCTAAACAGTTAATCCATAAGAACTTCACTTCTGAAGAGGTATGTATCCTTCATAACGTTTTGCAAGTTCTTTCCGAAATCCAAACCCATTTTCCTTTTGTCCTAGAAAATATAATTGAAAATTGTCGCAGATTGGTAGAAGGTAACTTTTGTTGTAGTTGGTTGTATTTCTGTTGAATTTTTCTTTTGGTTTCAGGATAATCTTGTAAATATTAGTAATAATGATTCCTCTAATATCCCTGAACACATTACTGACTCTGAAGAAGATGAACCTCCCCCACTACCACCCAGAAATGAGAGTCTTCCCAATGGAACACCTCTCGACAGACCACTCCCAAATATTCCGAAAAGTGTTTCAGATAATGATCTGACCTATGATGAAAATAGTGATATCTTGGTAAGAAACTTTTCATATAGACAGTAGTACCAAATCAAAAATAAAATTAATAAGCTACTTTTACATATTTTTTTTTAAATCAAGTTAGTTTTGTCATAGAATGTCTTCACCAACTATCAACTAACCACCAACTATCAATTGTCGTTTAAGACTTTTTCAACTTCAAAAACTATTTTATAATGTTATGAGTGTTGTGGAATTGGCCGCGGTGGTAGTGCGCCCGACTCACGATCGGAAGACCGTGGGTTCGATTCCTGCCTCGATCAGATATTTTCTCGAGAGAATTTATCTGCTTGAAGCTGGAATGATTCTGCAACCATGTTAGGAATCATACGTTAAAAGGTAGGACCTCGTTAGTCCTCGGCTCGCACAAGTTTCTCCATCTTCTGAGAGTTGTCGTTTGTATGGGGGCGACAGCTGATTAACGGAAAAACATATTTTAAACAGATTTTTTTTTATGAGAAATCTTTAAGTAGATTAGGTAATGAAACATGTGGAATTTATCCTCCTTTGTTACTTTCATCAAATATGCATCCAACAAAAATATCACTGCACATTGAATAGTGTGCTACAACCCTTCAAGTATGTCAATCAAATTCTATCCTAAGAACTTGATTGACATACATTTGATTATCCGTTCAATTACAAACAGGAAAACTCCAATTCAGTATACAAAGTAATAAAACTTACAGCACCAAGTGTAGTTTATACAAGAGTTGAATGATTCACTTGAATTTTTAATTCATTTTCATTTTCACAAGTTTCACAAGTTCATTTAGACTTTTTTTCTCAAAATTGTCTCAGGAAAACGTCACTTGAATATTTTAACGTACTTATGTTACACCCTGTATAAGTCAAAGGATTTCTGGACAAAAATTTGACCCGACAAAATGTATAAAAGATGTGTCAATGATGCAATTGTCTTTGAGGCATGGTAAAGATATTATATTCCTGAATTCATTATATTGTATTCACCTACTACTAAACCTATTTTAGAAGCTACTTTTTTTAATAATCACTCTGCACAATATCAATAAAATTAATGTGTTAATGTGTAATGTAGACTCAAGATTCAAGTACTGAATTCTATACTGGATCTAACTAGAGAGCAACATGAAATTTTCGAAGCGTAAACATAAAAATCACTAGATAATCTTGAAATGAAAACCAAAAATATTTAAGGTTTCTGAATACTTGCCTGAATTAAAACATGTAGACAATTAGTAATGCCAATCATGTCATTTTGAATAAGATGTGAATCATCAGGACATTTTATCACTTTAAAATTGATCAAATTCAATCATGTAGTATTTTGTCAAAGTCTTTCAAGAAGTCTGTGTATATTGAATTAACCTGCAGGGACTTCTTGAGATCTTGCATTATAAAGTACTGGTAGCACATCAAATTCTATACTGTGGACCAATCAGAAATGAACCCATGCTGTTCTGAAATAACCATTGTTAAGTATGCCTGATTGAATATACAGGGTGTTTATTACATGTAATGTTTCTCAATCTACAAGAACTGTTGAAAATGACTACCCCCCCACTCGGATGCAAGAATCCAATCTTCTCCTCATCAAGTTCCAAACTCTTTCAAAAACACCAGTATCGTTTTTGATTGAGTTACACCCAGCAATTATCCCATTTCTCAAATATTCTACATATTCCAGTGGAGTAGTATAAAGTAATATCTTTTGGTGGCCCCATAGGAAATAACCCAGGGGTTTAAGTCCGGTGCTCGAGCAAGCTATAAGCGAGGTCCACCTCAACTAATCCAGCGATATTCGTATGTTACCGTAAAAAAACTCTCTAGCCAATATGCTGAAATGTGCTGGTACACCATCGTGCATAAACCAAATTGCATTTTTTGTAACCAATGCGACCTTCAAGCACCTCATGTGGATTTTCTTCAGCCCAAACATGGTTATTGTCAAAATTCCTTATGGCATTTTTTGAGAAACTGGCTTCATCGGTAAAAAGAATAGACATCAATAGTTGAGGGATTTGAACCAATGTGCGTAAAAGCCATTGACAGAATGCCATGCGTAGAAAAAAATCTGCAGAAGTGCCTGAACTCGTTGTACGTGGTATGGTACAAATGTCTCTAAGAATGTTCCAAATCGTCCCATTACTCACATTTGAAATATTTGCAATTTGTAGAGTAGTAGAGGTACCTGGATCTTCTATCATGGCAAGCACATTCTTTTCTACTTCTACCGTTCTTACTGTCATTGGCCTTCCTGGTCTTCCATTTCGCTTCAATGCTCCTGTTTGACGAAGTCGTTGATGTATACTTTGGAAAGTTTTTCTATTAGGCACATTACGATTAGAAAATCGTTCACTGTACAACCGCCTAGCTTCCAATGAATTGCCATCCATAAATGAAATGCATGTCAGCCATCTCTGCGTTACTATAGCCATTCATCATAGAGGACTTCACTAACAAGACTTTAAATATTAAACACAGAAAATGCACGTCAAATAGACAAAGTCAATCAGTTTTAACCTATTCGACACATAGAAATGATCACTTACAAAACATACTATTCAAATTTTTATTACTTGGTAGGTCCAGTGCAGTACGGCTATGTTAATAATTTTAAAATTACCAAAATTGTTATTGTTGAAATTTTTTTTCACCCCGTATCTTCGAAACAAAGCTTCCTATCAAAATCATCAAAGAACAAAATATCCTTAGAAATAATCCAAGGAATAGTTCCTTAATTTTTTGTTTGCCGCATGTTTAATAAACACCCTGTATATTTTTTTTTTAGTTATTAACTCTTTCTTTGGATCCACTTTTGTGAATTGAATATATAAATCTGTGTTTTCACAAATCTGGAAATTCACTGCAAGTTAGCAAAAAAAAATTTAAAAGACACAAACACAGAAGATACAGTTTACTATTCATAAAATTCATGATGAGTTAAAACTTTTTTTTTTAGAAAATAATCAGAATCCTTTGAATATTTGCAGAATTACATTCCCAGCGGACCTTTACCTGTAGTACCAGCCGATGAGGATGAGTGCAGTGAAGAAGATGAACTTGAAGAAGAGGAAGAAGAAGATTTCAAACCAGAGACAGTCAGTCCTGATCTAGAGAAATCCTCATTAATAGAATCTGAGAAGCCAGTTTTAATCGAATCGAAACACAGGTGTGTATAATTTCGATTAAGTAATATATTTATATTTCAGAGGTATGAAAATTCTTATTTTTTAGTTCATCCTACGAGGTCAGACAAAGAAACAGGGCACAGAGAAAAGGAACCATGGAGTCTCAAGTGCGGGATATGAAACGCCGTCAACAAATAAATGAACAGTGGACTCGATTGAAGAGGTCTTTATACTTACCTTTAGTTGTAGGAGGCTCTCTACTGTTGGGCGGAGGTCTCATTGCTTATATTTATTACAAAGATTGAGAAAAGATCCCATCTCATTTTTTTGTATTTATTACTTATTAGTAAGGTTGTTGACAAATATGATAGCCAGAAACAGTGATTATTGCTTTTCAGATGTGTCCATGCGTTTTGTATGATTTGAAAAATCTTTTTGGCAGCTTCCTAACAAATGTATTTTAGAAATCGTACAAAACTTGAGATGAACATGATGGGGCAAAAAAATCACTAGTTGCTCATATATGCTTTCTTGAAAGTAAGATGACTCATTTATGGGTTTTTTTCGAAAGGATGAATGTTTTTTTAGTATATTTTGACATAATAATAATAGAACACTTTGCTTTGTTTCAATATAATATTGAATATTTAATTCATTAATAGAAAATATTTGAAAATTGGTAATGGTTTCGAAAATATCACAATCCATATTTAACTGCTTGCTACTACACTAATTATCTTTTTATTGAATACCTTTTTGAATCATGTTTCATTCTAAGAGGAATTAACCCTGTATCATCTTGTTCGGAAGTAAAGATTACATATTTGTGCAACCTGAAATTTTTATAATCTGTTATCTATTAAGTTTTCACGAAATGTTTTTGGTAGCACTGAAAAACTTTATTTATGAAAATGTGACTTAGTAAATGTTTTCTTTTGTCCAAAAGTCTTATATTACATATCACTAATTCCATACAAGAGAATTATAAATATTTGTTGGACTTTGAGAACAGAATCCATTCTTAAAAATAATTTAAGATTAATTTTTGTGTGTCGTGGGAACAATTTTACAATCACACTTATAAAGGTATTTATGAATACCAATTAATAATCATTTGGTTGAAATTGAATGCCTGAACAGATTTCTTAAATAACTGTATTCCCTTTTTTCTGAATCTTTCAGTGAAAAAGAATAAATCACATCCAAAAATGAATTTATTCTTCTGAAACTCACATCAATCATAACACCACTTATTTTGTTGAAAATAGAATCTAACTAAAAAATCTCTGGGATTCAGAACAACAAACAACAATAGATATAACGATATGATAATTATTATCATCGTATGGCTCAACCTAATAGTCATTAAAATCTTATTTTGAGAGAGTTATACAGAAAATATATTTTATATTTATTTTTGTCTTCAGATGGGAGTATTAAAATGTATTCTAATCGAATTACACATTGAAACTTTTTCCATCATTGTTTTTTCGGATTACTAAACGTTAATAATAATAATTTTGGTACATAAAGAGCTATTCAAATTCAAATCTTTCTTTGCATGGTGATCTCTGTGTCCAAGAGATACAGAGTAGTTTAACTTTTGGCAATATTGCCCATTTTCAGGCTCTGCTGAATGATACCGAAAAATCGACTGTAGCTATTTTGATTCTGGAGATACATAGAAAAAACTGAAATTTTCGAAAATCTTTTGCTGTAAATTAATTATTTGCAGGGATATTGCTTATCTCTTTACACTTTTACATTGGAACTTACTTGTTCATTATACCATCACGTATTCAAAAAACGCATTTTATTGTGAGATTTCCACTTGAAGGTACAAAAAACCGCGACACGTGTTTTGCTATAAGTTAGTATTTTCGGGCGTCACAATACTGATTGTGGTTGGTGGGATAATTTGATCTGGGGTTTCATTGTCCATGTCGTGTCTCTCTTCTTCCGATACCGTTAATTAAAAAATTTAGGTGCCAAAAAGTCTTTTTCAGTAAATGTTTGACTTCAGGAGATATATACTGATAGTAGCGAATCCTACTTCAGCCTCTGGAATGGTGGCAAATTTTTGTAAAGTAGTAGCAGTATTGTTTTCATCAAAAGATTGCACTCATGCATGTAGGCAGCTTTAAATGGACTATAAATGGAAACGGTTAAAGGCTGAATTCTATGAGATCCATGTGGGGGTAGTGATAACATTACTATGTTGTTGGTTTTGCAAATATTCGTGAGCCCCAATAGAGATATGATTGCTGTGATTATCTAAGACAAGCAGTATGGGTTCGTTCTCTGACGGTTTTGTAAAATTAGTGAAATGTTTTAACCAGTCTACAAACAACTCTTCATTTATCCACCCATTCTTTGAGCACCGGTATATAGCACCACGTGCAGGGAAATATCACCATTGGTGGAAGGTAAACACCAGTATGACTTACTGCACACACGGCCATTACATTTTTTTTTCTTGATGTTTTTGACCTTTCTCAGTTACAACTTCACCTGGGTCTTGTAGCGGGGAGATATTTTTTTGTACTATATTCAGTTTTATGATATTATATGAACATTGTGTACATTATTATATGAATGTTACATATAAAAAAATTGTTACAAAATACATATCAAATTTCAAGGTGTGCAAAATTTGATGACACCCTGTAAAAAATTATATGATGAAATTCTGATAGATAATGAAAGCTTCAGCAAAATGTAATCATATTAAATATCTCTGCAAATGATGAGATATAACAAAAAAAGTATTTTGAAATTTTCAGTGTTTCTCATATATCTCTTGAATCAAAAAAACTAAATCGATTTTTTTATATCATTCAAACGTACCTGAAAAAAGGTACAATTTGATCTACTCTCTATCTCTTACCCTTCACGAGATCCCCACTGCATTGACTTGAATTTGAATAACCATGTAAAAACAATTTCAGTTTTTGTTCACCTAAGAATAAATCTGTTTTAAGCAATGCTTAAGTAATGCTTCTTGTAATACTTCAGTTATGTCTCAGTCAATGACATGTGTAATAGAGTGATGGGAATCTCAGGACACAAAAAAAAAGATATGTGATTTTGTGGTTACAGAATTGAAATTTTCATAAAAGCACTTTCACAACTTAAAGTAACGAATGGTTTCATTATAATTCAGTTGGAATTTTTTTATGCTAATTGAATTTCAGCTACAAAATTGACTATGCGATGAATACAACTATAACAATCATAAAATTGAAGTATGATAATTTTCAATTTAAGTCGCAAAACCATGTTTTGCATTTTTCACTGCGTAAATTGAAACACTTGGAGCTAGGTTTTTAGGAGATTTCGAAACTGGAAATTGAACAAAGTTCATGAAATACAAGGTATTATAAGGAATTACTTATTTTTCGTTACACACAAAAACATTTATTTTTGAAAACTTCAAAAAACAGAGATTCTGATTCTTCCCAGGAAAGCTTGAGAAAGACAGTAAAAATTATCTTGGTAGCATAAAATAGATTTATTGTCGTTGGTATGAAGCTAGTTTGTCAATTTCTTTGAGCCTGCTGATGAAATTGAGGAAATGATACTTCCTTTCTAAAGGAGAAATATTTAAAAAAATTATTATGAATTGTAAAGGAGTGCAATGCAGTACACTTTTATTTTCACATTACTTTACCTCGAATTATTAACCATCGTTTTTGAAATAACCAAATAATCGAGACTGTAGGTGTTTACTTTCAATATGTTTTCTCTTCTTGTTTTTGTTTTTAAGAAAAAAAAATATTTGGTTCTGTATTTTTTGTTGTAATTGACTCATTCCAATATTCCCCTCTCACCAGACCTGTGTGTGGGAGAAGCGTTTGTATTGGATTGATTCTATGCCAGAGGTTTCAGTTTCACGTTTCAGTTACTGAAACATATTTTTGTATTGGCATTATCATTTTAATGTTTAATGAAATAGTAATTACTACAACTGACCTGTTGGGGATACACTGATTATTGATAATTTTGTTTCTGCAAGTATTCAAATTTTGTTGGTTACCCTGTTGAAAAATAACTCATTGAAAATCTTGATTACCACCTCCTTTATTATTAAAGTTTAAATAAATTTGGTTTACATTTTGAGTAATTAATTATACCTAGTATATCATTTGACTCTTTGAAATAAATATTTGTTTGAGTTTCTTCCATATTTCAATTTGGTGGATGTTTATTTTCGTTTTGACTTAGGCATACTTCCTTATTCTTAGTTATTGATTTTAGTCTTAGGAGGTGTGTTACTCAAACCTGCTATCACCAGTAAATTTTTATTCAACTGGTCTATCCCAACATGAGAATATTGAATATATGCACTGAAAAATAGATATTTTGTTTTAAAGAGTATACATTAATAATTCTATTATTAATTTTTGCATTATGAAAATATTCATATTAGCGATATTTTCAGTGTTTTGATTATGATTATATTATTGTTTGTTTTCATATATATTTTTTCCTTAAATAACAAATGAGCATTCAGAGTATTCATATGCAACTCCTGATCAAATTCCATATACTGGGTGTTATGAATTGAGTGAAAGTAGTTACACTTATTGCTAATTACAACTGAAATTTTATTAAATCAATAAGTTCAATCTAAAATTTTGAATTTTCAAGTTATGGGTTCAGGAGAAAGCGAGGAGTTTTCCAAACAAGAAATAACATGTCTTTAGCATCAAAATCAGTATTTTTCTTACTATGTAAAAATAGTTGTTTCAAGAAATACCTAAGTAAAGGACATTCTTTCTGTATTCTATTTTTTTATATTCATAACTGCCATTGAAACAAACTTGGTAAAAAACAAACGTGCTATTTTTGTATAAGTTGAAACTGATAATATTTTTACAGTATTGAGAGAAACGTGAATGATTGCTCTAAAACCAAATACTCACTCTTATAGTTCTTCCAATATAAATGGGGATGATCTCTTTCACATAATTTCCGAAACTTAGTATTATTCAGAGTTTTGGATACAAAATGTGTATTTTTAATACCAGAAAATTTTATTTAGAGAACTTTTGTTTATTCAAGTCACGGAAAACTGATTTTAGGATTGAAAAGAGAGATTCATATAATGTAATATGACTGAAAATAGTCAATCTGGTAAACGAATTGAACATTTATATATATAAAAAAAAATGTTAGTATACTTAGAATAATTTTGCAATCTCAGTTTTTTCTGTATTGTTTGTAAGTGAATAATGTATGAACATTTTGGAAATAATTGATAGTATCTTAGCTACAACTGCCATGAGTATTAAAATCAAGATGAAATACTAAATACACAACACTTTTTACATGTTGCTACGGTAATATACGTGAAAAAGGTTTTGTACACTTGTGTTTTTACATTCCTGTGTTAAGTGCCTACACAAACTATTGAAAGTATGTTGACAATATAGGTCAAAATTATGTTATATTGATTTGAAATAAGGCGACAATCGGTTTGTAAATATTTTTAGTAAACCGATATGTAACTTCATTGTGATTATTTACTATTTTCTCAAAATTTTTATGGATATTTAATAAATATATTTGGAAAACATAACAAATTGTTTAATATACCTTAGTTTCTTATTACAGGCCTAAAACTTCACTCGAAGACTGACATTTGAAATTTTTTTGGAGAAGACTGGACTATGAAAAATTCAGGTTAGTTGAAGATAAATTCTGTGGTCTTACCTTTTAACAAGACTAGTCAAGATTACTTGAATCTATCCTATTCCTAGAGATTCCCATTTGTTAACTGTATGGCTATATTTATGCAGCTTTGCATTTGTCTAGTCCCTGATTTTGATATTCGAGAGCAAGTAATAAAGATCTGTTATTGATTCAAATTGTTATTGAACTTTGAAAATACATTGAATAATTGTACCCCTTCAGCTCATACATATAACCCTTATTTAT